GAAACGTTGGTTAACATCGACCAGACTACACAGCGCAACAACCCAGAAGACGGATATCTTCAAACACTCGTAACTTTGGTCTGGATTTACCTGGCTCAGGAGAGGGACTTGTGAGGACAGTAATGAACCTTTAGAGTCCACAAAAGATGGCGAATTTGCTATTCTGTTGACCTGCTGAGTGTACTGTTAGCTTCTCAAGAAATACCCTGATCCACGTACTTTTACAGCCCTTCCATGATGACTGCAATATACTTCGAGCAATTTGTCAGTCAAAACGATGAAATTTACAGATGAAGAAGCCATCACCAAGAATGGCACAATGAATTTTCACAACAATCACTTGTTGTTCAATCCAGTTCAGCATTATCAAGTGCAGACGATGTTCTGGTAGACCCCCATGTTTTGCCACAAATGCTAACAAAAACAGCTACTGACATTTCTTAGAAAATGACTGCCCAAGCTATTAGAAGACCTTCCATCAGCTTTAAGGCATGTACAATGGTGCTCCACCACATTTCAGTATTTCGGTTCTAGAAACCTTGGATAACACAGACCCTGCCAGATGGATAGGTCAAGGAAGACCTAATGAGTGGTCACTTCATTTTCATATCTCGACTCTAGTTTATGTGACTCCATAGCAAATCTTTTGACAGAAAATTGAATGTGGCTATCAGACAATCCACAGATTTTTAGACGTGTTTAGTAGTCCATAATAAGACACACTCACGACTGCATCAAAACTCACAGAGAACTTCCGAAGAAGCACCTGGAAAAAAAAACTGTCGTGACTTAGAAACGAGGCTTTTCCAGACCTTTGTTAACGTAACTTTTTCCATAGTTTTGGTGTGGCAAATACACACTCAAAGATTTGCCACAACTTTAAGTTACATCCTATAGTGTCACAGAAGCACATCAGGAGCAAAGTTTTATGAGTTGGTTTACGACGACTCGCAAACTGCAGGTAAGAGAATGGAAAACAGAATGAGAAGTAGATTATCACAGAACTAAGAACGTGTGACAGACCTACTGAAGGTAGGACATCGAAATGTAGGGACTCAGAAATAAATGAGAGCACAATAAAGTTTTAGATCTGCGTAGGTCTCATGTGGGACAGCAGAATGCGTGCGCATAATCAGAAGAGGTCTACAAGGTCAACGTTTATAAAAGCTGCTCAAAAGAAGAAATAGAACCGAAAAATATAGTGGAAATCCATGATTTGTAGCGCGTACTTGGGAAAAGATTGAGAGGTATTCTGATGAGTATGACAGAACTATTATGGACAGATGCCAATAATAAGATGAATTCACAGACAGATTAAGATATGCATGATTCTGGTTAATAATACAATGACATAATCAAGATATTATAATCTGAACTTCAGAATGGAATAAGGACAAATATTGAAACCTTGCTTACAAGGGGAGGGGCTGTGCATTAAAAAGATTATATTACAAGAACCAAATCATGCAGACCTGTATTATTCATACAGCATAAAATATAGAACAACCACCAAGATCACAACGCATATCTATGAAACAATAATGTATCAGTTACGTAAGATTTGAGGTTCTCACAGCGGTGAGTATGAAGATTTCTGTCTTCTGGGTTATTGCGCTGTGTAGTCTGGTCGATGTTGGTTAACATCGACCAGACTAATCTAAATATCAAGCACTAACAAGTCACAGCAGGAAAAACTTAAAGCATATTTAACAGACAGCATCTAATATAATCTGCTTACATAATTATAACCATTTTTGATAAGATGATGTTAAGATTCTTTACTTAATCTACATACCAAAGTAAATGTATTTTCTTAAGTTTCTTGTGTACAACCAATGCCTAAAAATGACATGGAGGTAGGATCCACAAAATGTCATATTTTAGCAGAACACAAATGTGAACTGTCAACTTCCTGACATGTTTAATGTTATCCGTAAGTTAAGGTCCCCATTTTGAACAGTGGGTAGATGGGCCTAGATCTGCTGTGGGCAATGATGAGGAAAATAATAGATGCAGAAATATTTCAGTGAAATAAAATACTGGAACTAGATCATTCCTCCACTTTTCAAAGTTCTGCCATTTAACATAACCACAAAATATGGTCATGACATACACTCGATTTCCATTCACAGTTACTACACATATAAGGTGCACCTAGATCCATTTCTCATTCAATTATTGGATATATAGTACACATGGGCAAGTGGGGTAAATACTGCTAGCCGTTCAAACATGCTACATGGCAAACGTAAAAATTATATGTGCCCATCACGCAAAGCTAACAAAATCAAGTACTATGAGGCAGCATGTACACGCAAGACAATTTCAATCACTAACAAAACCTCATTTTCCTGCTTCACAACCACTTACATTATTAGCAGGCTAATACAGATCCTCAGAATGGAAATGTGAAATTTCCATTACCACAAAGCAATGCGGATTTTACTTTTAAACGGGAAGCCACGTCGTACGTTTGACTTGTTTTCCAGCACTCCCATCATTGAAGAAATTAAATGTGAATTTCAAGTTCCGATCAGCTGAACATTCCAAAAAAGGAAGCAATGAAAAAAGAATTCACCAGTAACGCCACTTTTTCGTACGTAACACGCACTTTTCGTTTACACCATGTTTTGGCCATGAATGTACCACCCGTCAAGTTTTGTCTATGTGGCTTTCATTCCAAGGATGAATGTGCTATGTCAAACAGTATTCCTCTCGCTATTCTTCTCACCTGTGTGTTGACATAATCACTCAATTAGTATGCGATTATGTAGAACTTGAAAATAATTTCTATACATTACACCGACATATCACGTAAAACGTCAGCAGCAATTGATTCTAATCGCTATCATTCACTTTTCATACACCGCACGCAAATCTAATCACTGCCCCCAAAAAGCAGCAAGTCACAGATTAAACAGTGCACACTATAAACCAGTAATTCAATGTTGGCAACGTAACTGGCACATGACGTCAGACGTTTATTATACTAAGTCAATCCAAAACTGTAAATAAAACTGCGACGGCAGTTGGTATTACTTCAACCACTGCGAAGACTACAGTCGGCAATAATGCTAACCACCATCTAAATTCCCCCACCCATTCATAACATAGGATATTACAAATCTCAAGGCGTCTTTTTTTTCCTGTTGTGTAATCTGGAAGGCAGTTACATTTCGCACATGGTCACTGCCTCTAGGGCATAACCCTAATGATGGAGTCAGTGAGCACCTCCGAAACATGTCACTTTGCCAGCCTACAGTATAATATCCCATAGACAGACACCTCCAAACTTGCCACCCCGAGGACCTGAAAATCTCACCATTATAAATTCAGTACCTGGTACTGTAGAGAAATTTACCCTGTTTTCAAAAATGAATACACGCAAATTAGTTTTACCCATATCACTGTACTTGAATCCATCAGGCAAATACACAATGAAAATCTAAGGACCCAGGGCCATACACATGATTACAGTTATATACAGACTATTAAGTCTTACCATGGGGAAAATACCTCAACAAAACAACATACCAGGTACCATGGAAATTAACAACAGGGATGATATTAGTTTTCACTACACCAAGTGCTAATGATTTCATGAGGAACAACTGCCTACAGAAATAAAAACTGAGCGTTTTCATTCTACACAACAAACTTTTCTGTTTGGGTGCATTATGTAACACCGACCAGGAATACACCAAAAACAACACACAAACAAAAGATGGCTTTCTGGGTTGTAGGATTGTGTAGCATGATAGAATTTTACCAACATTTCAGACGTCCTTGCATCCTCCATCATGAGGGCGGTGACCCAGAAGACTCACCACTGTGAAAACCTCAAATCCTGCTTAACACATAAATAGGTTTTGAATCAGAATTTCCTGCACAGTCTATCCACAGCTAAATAAAAAAAAACATCTGCATGATAAAGGGCAGGTACAATACTATCAAAAACCATAATAATCACTTTCAGAGGGGTGTATATATCCCACAATAAAAAAGATTATCTTATAAGCAGTTGCATACAAAACAATACAAACCACACATAATAATGTACAACAATTCCAAAACATATGGACACCTAAACAAATATTGCAGAGGCTCACAAACCCACCTTCAAAGTAGAAGACTACCAGTTCAATCGGTCAATAACGTGCGTTAACTGCAGCAAAGAACATAGAGTGGATATGCGTCAGACTGAAGTATGAGAATCAGCAAGAACATTATGACATACATGGTTACTGGTATACTTTATTGAAATATAATGCTTTTAATGTATGTGTTTTTTCAAAATAAACTGTGGGACCCAGCACATAATTTTCAAAATGACATTAATAATAATTGTTTATCTTCAAATTAAGTGTGCATGTGTGACTGATTACTGCAAGAAAGGGAAAAGCCATATAAGGACAAACACAAGATTACAAATGACTCAAACTGTGATGGCTGCATCACTTCTGGCTTACAACTTTCAAAATTTCAAGAGCTTGAACTTTGTTACAGTGTTCAATGTAAGACGATGACCGGCTAAGGAATCAAATGATTTGCATCACTTAAATCTTCCTCCAGCCATTACTACGTTAACAACAGCACATTATGAAAAATTGCTGAACTGGTCTATTGTCATAACGCATTTCCGGTGCTAAACATCCAAAGTCAGCCTTGATGGCAACCGAGAGCAACGTCTTCTCTTTCAGCTCCGTGACATACGGAAAGGGTGGTCTGATGTTTCATTCGTCTCAAATCATCACTTACATTTGACCACGACTGCATTTCTGAATAAACTTTCGGGAGCACGTTAAGTGCACACATCAGCTGCTTTGGTGCAATGTAATTTATTGAGTTGACCTGAATACGCCATGTTAGAGCGTGTAGCGCACTGCAGTGCTTAGAAAGTAGATGTGTGCAACTGTAATGATAAAGATATGTCGCTCAGCTACATGAATGAACGAATACCTTCAGAGTGACCATGACCAATTCCTTCTGTGCATTATTTCATTATTAGTGACCACATTCACATTTTTCAATAATTTTTGCAACACCTACAGTATAAACTGGGGTTCAAGTAACATACAACTCCATAAACCAGAATCCTCCTTGAGAAGCTAATAGTTTCTCAGCTGCTGAAAAATATATGGCCTTTAATGGAGCCATCCACTGCGACCTTGCTCAAGCAAAATAAATATAATCTGCACCCTTCTTTCAGATTCATTTCAATGTTATCATCCAACCTATGACTTGGCCTTAAAAATGGTCTCTTTGCATCAGCTATTCCCACTGAAACCTGATACGCATTTGTCTCTGCCGTGCATGCTACATGACCTGGCCATTGCATTCTCCTTCATTTTACCATCGTAATGACACACGGTAAAAGATACAAGTTATGAACCTCCTCAGTCTGCTATTTATTCTCTTCAGCGAACTGAAACACACTGAATCCAGGCTTTCTATATGAAACTACTTATGGCAACTTAAGACATCACGACAATCACCCCCGACAGGGAAATATGTTGAAACACAAATCCACATTGAAGGTACCATCACGGGCGCAGGAAGATCACCGAGATGTAAAGTGGCTCCATTTCCAGGACAGCCATCAGTGGAATTTACTATGCAACTATCGACATTCTTACCGAATTGAAATCACGTGAAGACGGAGCAGAGTTCTTGAGAAGCTGATAGTGTGCTCACCTAGCCAAGAAATTCCCTGCCTTTTATGAAACCCAAAGGTTCATAATCGTGCATCCTGAGCCAATGCACGCCCTCTGACACAATTTCCGTAAGATGAAAGTAAGGTTACAAATTTTCAAAGAAATCTGACAACTTACTAACCTACTTACCTCAATAAGATATGCGGTTCCTTCCTCCAAATACTTCACAAAATAAGGAATGAACATATTCATGGTCTTTGAAATCTGTTGGATATTTTATTGGGAAGTGTGCAGGTAAATTGTATATAGGCATCATTTTTTGTGGACAGACTGTGATCCAAGCGCCCACCCAGCTTCCTATCCAACGGGTAAAGCATGGCTGGGGTGTGACAATGACCACTCACCCCCAACTACTGCTGAATGTTAAAAGTGAGTAGAAGCTGTACCATCTCTCCCCCCAAGCGCCTCCATGGCTTATAGTGGGGCAGCTCTACTTCACTGCAGAGGGAAGACGAGAACGATACCTTTGCGTACACAGATGCAATGTTTTATAAGGATCTCATTCAATGCATAGAAAAATTATAAATAAAAAATCTGTAATCAATATATGAAATTATGGTATTTAGACAGATGGCTATTTGTTAAGACAAAGGTGTTGCGAAAAGCAATTATTCATATTTTACTTTTCTGGGGTCTCGGGTTCAATTCCCGGCGGTGCCTGAATTTATAACTTGTGTTGGGCAAGGCCGTGGTCTAGGCAACACGGAGTTTTCCTCCATGGCATCCCAACAATTACTCCATTCACACACAGAAGAAGGCAATGGCAAACCACTTCTGGATCATCTGCCAAGAACGTATATGAACAGGTCCCAGTCCGAGAAAAAGATGGAAGGATCCTGTTCATATGGACCTGTCATCAGACAGAACACTAAATAAACCTCACAGAAACTATACTTTTACTGTGGTGGTGCGCTCGGGTACTGAATCGCAGGTCCTTCGACGGTCACTGCCCGTTTCTGCCATATTTACGACAATGGAATCTGTTCCCGGCAAGGTAAGGAGATCTCATCACTGATCAGTAATAAATGTGAGACTTAAAACAAATTCAGAGTTTCTGCACAGTTTATTTGTAATGTTCGATTCCCGGCGGTGCCCGAATTTGTAACTTGTGTTGGGCCAGGCCGTGGTCTAGGCAACACGGAGTTTTCCTCCGGGGGCTTCCCCGGTTTCTCCGTGGCATCCCAACAATTACTCCATTCACACACAGAAGAAGGCAATGGCAAACCACTTCTGGATCATCTGCCAAGAACGTATATGAACAGGTCCCAGTCCGAGAAGAGAAAAGGGTGGAAGGATCCTGTTCATATGGACCTGTCGTCAGACAGAACACAAAAATGGCTACTTTAAGTGAACTTTATTTTGTAATTTTACAAAGAACTCCTCAAAATTATCACCTCTCTGGTCCACACTCATCCGCCTCCATCTTAAGGCAGAAAGTTACACCAAAATGGTGGCATACAGCCAGAGCAGGGGTGTACTGCCACAAATGCATGCCATAACTACACATCTAAAGTCACACTGGAACTAACCACACCCTAAATAAAACATAATTTGTAAAGTATAGATGAATTACTTGGCAATATATGAAACCCAAAAAGAAATATTTTCAATGACATCGCTCACAGCACTCTTCCAACTCAGCATCTGCATCCCTACACAGCCCTGCTCTTCGTACTGCTTGAACGGTACTGCTCTGGCACAAAATCTGAGTGTAGCCAACTAGACGCAGTCTTCCCTCCTGCAAGGTGCAACGACCAGAAGATCTCCATCCATACTAACTTAATGAGATCAGGGATTCTGATGACCTTTGAATCACCTACGTGTAAGTCCCACGTTTTGAACTCCTACTGACGAAGATTGTGATTACTCTTTGATGCGATAATTTAATGTGAATAAAGAGGACCACAGGCATCCCATGCCGTTTCTGGCAACACGTCATCCGCATCTTTGGAGGAATACTGATTGATACTTTGTCCCTGCGGGAAACAATTCTATCTACAATTCTAAACTTTGGACATCACATGAATATTTGATCTGCTCTCACTGCGTCCTCCCTAAAAGCAGAACAATTTTTGTACAAACTTGGCTACTTTCTTGGAAAAGATAAAGTGTTTACGAGTATTTCAAGATGCACGACAGATTTTACCGACTTCAAATAACAGTAAATCGTGTTCATCCAGCAAAAGAAATCTGTTGACCTGCTGTCAGTAGAGAAATTGTTTATCAGCCCTCATACATAACTAAATATATGTATTAAGTACTTCTTAACGTGCGACTCACGTCACAATAAGGAGCACAGCTATGACATCAGCTTACGCCACCAGACAGCGCTGGGAGATCGCAACTGCCGCTTGTGAGCAAGCCGTGCCGCAGTAGCAAACGGAAGAGACGGACAGTGGTACCAGCTGATATCCATATTTTCACTCTGTGACAGTGCTGGCAACTCTGTAATAAATCACGTAGAAGGAGAAGCTAGTTGTATCAGGTAAAATAAAATGGTTATTTTAAATTCTGTACCCTTTACAGAAATCAACATTGAAAAATCAAAGGTAATGAGGATGGCACTGAGAGTAGAACCATTGAACGTTGTAATTGGAAACCAACAGCTGGAGAATGTGGAGCATTTCAAGTACTTGGGAAGCATAGTCACGACGGACGCCCTATGCACCAAGGAGTTGAAGTATCTCATTGTTCTGTTGTGTCTCATTGTTTTGTATTTTATTGTAGGTCACTGCCACCGGGTATAAACCCATTTGCAGCCAATAATAAATATATATATAATAATCATCAGAGGTAACATGCACATACTTTTCGAAAAGCAAGTTACCTAAGTCTTTAACTTTATTATTTTAAAGGAGAACTACACAATTAAAAATTTAAAACAATGTCTCCTGGGTTGTAGCGCCGTGTAGTGTAGTATAAGTTTACCGATGTTTCAGAGGTCCTTGCTGCCTCCATCATCAGGGCGGTGATGCATGCCCTTTCATTCCACTACCACAATAACAGTAAGTTGTTAGTATAATATAAAATCGGGTTCTCTGATTTTACGTAAATTACGCACACTTCAATAATGTTTTACGTTATATTTCCTTCTCGTGTGTTTACGGAACCGTCCTCACAAACCTCGTTTCAGCTGCCGAATTTTAATTTTTCAGAATCAATTAACTAATTTACACATTCATGAGTCGGTACAATGGTTAACATTTCTAAAATGAACTGCTTGTCAGCTCATGCATTGAACCCAGCCGATCCGAGGGCCGGAAACACTAGAAATACTGCAGTCAGCAAGACAGCGAAGACGATCGATTAAGATCGAGGAAGATCCTCTCGCCGCGCCGGCCCTAAATGGGGAAACTGAAAAGTCGAGAATACGGAAGGGATCAATGGAAGAATAAGATGAATATAAGAAAAAAAGTCGTATAAGTTTTCAAAACTTTGTCCAATATCGAGCGCACTTCTGTTCTAGAGACCGTCCGACTTAAAGGTGAAGATGAATTGCGGATTTACGCACGGGAGAAGAGAAACTAAAAATATCAGAACTAGCATTGGGTCATTTTGACGCCTTGGCTACATCTCTGTCGCACTTTTTTACAAACTGTTAGGCCAATCGTGAGCCGACAAAGAGAAATAAAGAAAATAAGACGAAAGAAAATGAAGATGCAATATATATAAAGCAAGAAATAAGAAAAGAAAGAGACAAAGTAAGAAGGAACGTAATGAACAAAGGGATAAGGGAACAAGAAACAGAGATGGAGAGCAAAATTTATTAACACAAAGCGATACAAAGAAAAATCGGGAAAGTTTTGGACGAAATTATTTTATTTTATTTACTTATGGCTTATAAAATGACCGCCAAGCTTTAATTTAAACCAGCATTGAAAAGATACTTAATTACACACTCATTTTACTCTGTCGATGAATTTCTAATGTTTACAAGTAAGTCGTAATTTAGCTAACCGACGACCTTAAACAAGGAAAGAAGATGACGTTCCAGGAATTAAAGCGAGAAGCCGAGAATAGGGACAACTGGAGAGCTCTTTTTGGGCAGAGCAATGGACCTGTCGTAAGACAGAACACTTAATAATAATAATAACCCTTTACAATGGTTGCATGTCTTCTGATCGGAATGTATAATTGCCGGCCTGTAATTTGTGAATGTGATGTGCGTTAGGCGTCTCTTCCCAACGCGTTGCTACTCACCACTCAACGTGCACAAGGCTTCGAGCTGTGCACATCTTGCTTCGTGACGTTGCTGCCGAATGCTTCCCTCATTGAAACGCCAGTAGAAACTTGTCAGCCTATTTTGCACTTGGAAATGCAAGTCAACCATTTGCTTCATTCCTGGAAACTTGACGTTGTCATGGGTGTCCTGCCACCTGGACAAAAAACAGGGGTTAAATTACTGTACCATGTGTGGATCACGTCTGTAAGATTCACATGATATGTCCCACCTGCTCACTTCCTGCTGTAGCTTCTGCAGCCTTTCCTCACTGATTTTGCTTACTGTGCGACTTGATATACAATTCTGCGCCTCGGCCCGAGTATGCAACCAGTGACGCACCCTCCTCTGTATGGCCACAGCTGCCTGAAGCAAGTCACAATAAAAAAAAAGAGGCATCTTTCAAGCCCAACACACATAATAAGATTCAGAATGACTGGCTACAATTCTCAGAAAATAATATACCCAATTGTAGCTAAGGTTATGTGGAAGCAATATAAGATAAAAGCATGAAATAATTGTTTTGCCTTCCCTAATTACATTACTAATTCTTCTTCACGTATTTTAAACATCCAACTTCTAGTTTTACACTCGCAGTTATCGCCTTAACATTACACAAACAGAACTATCTTTATTCTGAGCCAAGCAAGTGACAGTTATGAAACGACGTCCCTTCAAGACTGTGAGAAGTGGTGAGTATCATTAATGTGCTATAATGTAATCACATAATAACAAATAAAATCAACTTCAATAGCGTAGTACCTTTTCTCTTCTACGTTCACCTCGCACCTCTGCGAACTTCCGTCTGGTTCTGTAACCTCTCCAAGCCGTTTGTATTCGCCTTGCTGACATCTCGCGCAAACCGTCCAAGTAAAACGTCAACCTGTCTATAAACACAAATGCATTTAATAAAACTGAACTAATAATACCAGTGTAACTTTCTCAAACAGGAATCTTTCTCACCAGCTGGCAATACATCAAACACATCCAAGTGAACATCTGCGAATCTTCTACGGTTCATATTATTTTTTCTACGAATCCAAGTTTCAGCATCCATTTTAGAAAAATGCATAGAAAGAAGGTATGTCAGTGCTTAGATTAATTTAAATAATAACGTTCGGAACTTTTCTGATATGAAGCACACATTTACAGCTTCAATTTCTTCATAGTCTGTGAAAAACTGAGTCACAGATAATACCTACAGGGGTTTGTAATTGAATGTCATCAGATGGAAACTTATTTCCTGTGATCAATATCGGAAACGTGTTCTAGTAAATATTTCACTTTGTCACGCAGATAAACACTTGACCAAAAACTGACTGCACTCACTGTTAACCGAGTATGACTACCTCAGACCATAATTTGAAATAATCCCAACCCTTCTGAGTTCAATTCCCAGATATGCATCCAACAAAAGCTCGGTTCATACAGGACAAATTGTTTATTGGGATCATTCTCCCACCAGCAGCAAAGATAGCCCGAAGTCTGACCATGTCAAACCCTTGACGACAATCGTGTTAGCATTTTCACATCCAAAGTTATAGTTTGTAAGGTCGTGTTTATATACTCTATGCGTTCCACGTGCAGGAATGGTAAAACCTTGCAAGGGATATCTTGTGCAAGACTCAACCCTTCGTTAAGATTTTAGTTAGTTAAAGTAAGGTTGCCTACAATTAATTTAATGAAAAACATATTTTATGGGATGAGAGAATGTGGTGTGTTAGTCTACGGCCCAAAATTATTAATTGTGCCCCATCCCACTGGAACATCACAGTGCCACCCTTCCCGAGCAATTACTTTTGTGTGTAAGCATAATACATTTTGTGTACAAATTAATGTTATAAAACTGTCCAAACCTGCCAAAAATTGAAGATAAGTAGCGAGTTTTAAATGGTCCATTACCAGCAAAAGATTATGCAAAAACTTACAATTCCAATGGAAAAACGACATACGTCTCATTGCACCCAAAAGTATGAGCATAGCCCTCCTCAAGAAAGTTAGTTACTTCATTTGGTCAAGAACTTTTTATAGAACCCCCCCCAAATGTTCATTGCCACATCCATGAAAGCCACCAATGGTCCCTAATACAAGGCCCTGTGCAACATTTTCTAGAATGCTTGATTGTACAACAAGGAGTTGATAGCCCCTTGTCCAACTCCAAGCTGGAGGATGACTACTTATTCAAGATATCTGCAGCTGCACTCCATATCTAAAGGGTTTTCATCCATCTACATTCTGAGGACGTACCATGACGACAGGGGACCAACCAAACATAGTGGCTGCATTCAGAACACAGTTTTTTGCCTTCCCCATAAATGAATCGCTGCTTAGTCACAAGTCGGCACAATTACTCAGTGTTTCACATTTTAAAACAAGTTTTGTGATTGTAATTAAACTTTGTAACTGAAAACTGATGGTCCGATGGCTCTGCAGTAGAGGGCATGCAATATGCCGCTGCTGTACGTTCAGAAATTCTAACAGAAGCCATCGACTTTGTGTCACAGTTCAAAGCACTTATCTGGATGTAAAATGGCTCTCTGCTGCAAGTCTTGCGTTAATACGCGCACAACACAACCTTTTTCTTTTCTCTCCGTAAAGTGGGGTTCACTATTCAGCCTTTCTTCAGGTGGGCCTCTGCACGATCTGCCTCGCTTAACGCTGTGCATTCTCCCACCATCAGACATTCTTTCATGCACTACGGATTCCACAAGACTGATGTTAGTATAGACACGACGTCCAGAAGATGGGATCTTTCACGAGAGTAGAACACAACTCTCTTTTACCGCTTCTATAGCGTTCAGTAGATCAGGGTCCAGTTTATTCATACTGTCAGATACTACAAACATTTTCAGCCCAAACTTTACTGGCTTCATGGAATTGTATATTTTGAGAGACACCGTCCCCTTGAAAGAAACAGCAGCGGTGCTGGGTGAGCTACGCTGCGTGCACTTTGATGTGATGTCGTCGAGTACAGATTTTATCAGCTCTTCCCTTTTCATTCTGCCCTGTTCCTCAGCAAGCGCAAAATGTAGGTTCCAGAACAAGGACGGAGACTTGTCCCTTGGTTACACACAAAAGAAAAGAAAGGCATTTTGTTCACCCATGCCTCAGAGAAATAGTGAGTAACATCCGACATGGGATGCAGGCCCAGGTTTATCGAGACACCAAGCAGTGCCTTGAGGACACCAGTCTGTGATTCTAGATCCTTTTGTAGGGGGCATATTCTTTTACCATTCAGTGTGGTTTCCTACAGGATGAGGTCCGACAAATCCAGGTCAGACGAGTGTGGCAGTACGAGTAAGAACTGTCTCAACAAAATCTCATGGTACTTTAAGTTCAATATTCCGCACTGCAATTGCCGTGCTTGGTCCAGGGTCTGTCTAAATCAGCAACCTTACTTCTGTCACTCTTTCTGTGCTGTCCCTCGTACCACTCTAGCTCTCACGGGCACCAGCATCACTTATTTCGTAGTCATCATCACCAAAACAAATATCTGATACACTTCTTAACGCTAGCAATGTGCGGTATGGATATATCCTTTTTTCCACTCAGGAACAGTTTAGGAAAATGGGATTCATTCGCGCAAGGTTTCTGTTACCTCTTTTCTCTTCCTCGCGCGATAAGCTCAAACATTCCCCATTTTAATAAAGGTTAACTATTATTAATTTGGTGACAGTTTATGCACATGTTCATGTTATATATATCACTAATTACAAATATTACAATGTGGTATTAGGTTCTCATGGCCCACAAGATATCTCACAGGATATCTGACTTTTCCACCACGCTAGAGTTTCGCTAAATTGTTATTCAATCATATGATCACAATCACTTTTAACATACAAGTACATATTACATTAATTAACACGAGAATTCAACACGGCTGCCACTGAAGTAATGAACAAGGATTTTCAGATATCTGAGACACCTGCTACTGGCTTCACGCTAGTAACACACAACTCTAGGCAGCGAGTGTGTGTGTGTATTTCTAAGACAGCTGCACTGGTGGAAGCACAGGGGTATCCAGGCTTGGTGGCCTATGGGACAAAGCCTCTAGAGGAATGATTGTGGAGTGCCAGGCCCCAACAAAATGTTCTGAGGAATCACCTGGATGGCAAATTAAAAATTCTGCTTGGGAGTAGGTGTGGTGGTGGGGAGGGAAGGAGCATTACCTGAGACTGTTCCTAGAGACAGCCTGAAGCCCCCTGAGGGCAGCTCCCCCAGATGATACAGCAAAGGAAAGGCCTGGGGACAGGGGGCACAAAGGTGAAAGTAAGAACTGCAACAATATAAATAAGAATAAGAACAATAGGAATGTCAATAACAGTACAAAGAACAATTACTGTCCACAGATCACGAGAAAAACCGTGCTGGGGGAAGTCGTTTCTGGTGCGGTGCGGGGGCAATGTTTCTTATCAGCTGAACTAGAGGGCTGCTATTGGTGGGAAGTGCGACACGCCAGAGTTTTACGCTACTACACACAGACTGAAAACATCAACCAGTTAAGAGTAGCGTGTAGTGGGTACACCTCTAATGTGTTCTGATAATATTCTAGATTAAATCGCTGTGCCACTGTGAGGTAATCTTAAAGCTGTACCCATCAGAACACACGAAAGCCTGTCGTCTGTTGTTCGTTCAGTGGTTGTGGAACGAATGCTTGTAGGACGGGTCGTAACTCACAGCGAAATCTTGCGCATTTAACTAATTCCTAGCAGAGATTTTCTCCTGGTCTGCGGACTGTACCTCATGGTTTGCCCACTTCATGGGGAAACCACAGCAGACGAGAGAGAGAGGCCCCCCCCCCACACACACACACACGCAGGCAGGCAAACAGACAGTGATTGGCCTAACAGGTATTCATCATTTAATAACATTAAAATTAAGATGGAAAGTCAGAAAAACCTCTGTTTTTGCATTGATGAAATTTAGCCTCCTTTAGAAATGAAAACATAAAGTTGTCTGTATGCGTAACATCTGAGAAAAAGGGAAAATAACAGGAATTATATATAAAAACATAAGGAGCTTCACAGGTTGGACTCGTGCTTTGGTGCTAATGTACGCAGCATTCACTGGGTAAAACAACAAAATTTAGGTTGCTTATTTTCACGTGAAGAGTACACACGGACGATGAAAGCAAAATTGGTAAGATAATATGAAATTAATTGTGGAAAACCCGTTCATAACAACGGAGATTAAAGTCAGATTACTTATAACAGCCTCCAATTAATGGCTCTTCTGATGACAATGTTGAACATCTGGGCTCTATTGTAACAATTTCTGAATGTATAATGACTTCTCTGTACCAAGAAGTCAAGACAACTAGATTTACTAATTTTCAATACGACGAAAATACTCGCACAAGAATGTACGCGGCTCTTCAACTTCCGTACAGGAGACGTAATGTGTGGGTACGATGGAATCAGGGCTGAATTTCAAACTGGGACAAGAGCAAACAGAAAATTAAACAATGATACATCATTTGAAAATGACTCCATAAAAAAAAAACATTCTCACTCACTTTGCAGAAGATAATTGACATCACTACATTATCATCTCCCAAGTCCATTCCCACTCAACACGGGAACCTTTCAATGACAATGATCACTTCCTCTAGTTTTGTTTTTGGCTTGTTATTAAATTTTAAAACATTTAACACTAAAAAAGGAGGGAGTGTAATATAACGCCAACTCAGTACATTACTGCAATACAAATACTAAACATCACAAAATACTTATACATATCAATGTTCTCAGTGTGGAAGAATTCGTGTAGATCTTGCACATAAATAGAAACTATTCAATTCGGTAGTTCTGAAAGGTCCGTTCTAACAAAACTACAAAGAAAGCTAATTATTTCTTCATTTATTGAGCCTTGTGCATATAAAATGCAGCACAGTATCCACGTATTCCAACAAAGTTAGAGACTATACAATAAGAAACTTCACGTGTTACAGACCACACCTTGGTGTCTTTGTAGCGCACACACAGCCTTGTAAAAACTGTATATACCTTCACAGTAATAACAATAACTTACTCATCTTCACTCATGTTTCCCTGCAAAGCTCTGTTAATGGTTCATTCAATATAACAAAAATCACAAAAGTATCTATCAAATGTTGTACGAGTAATTCTCCTTTAGGCCACAAATGACCCTTCAATTACGAGAGCTTCAGAATTGGATAACGTAAGCTGAAATACGCGGAAATGAATCATAGCCTCACACATGTTGCTTCAAAAAAATCAATACATGGTGTGACATGAACACTTACTGCACAACACAGTTATGATTACAAAATACAATAATATTTATAAAACATAACAAATTGTCACAATTCCCAAGATTATCATAGAGCAAATACAATTCATTATATTTTTTTTTACATTTAATATATATATATATATTTATAACATTTTTATCATACACTCTCCCCTCACCCCCACTCTATCGCTATAATGGCGTTAAGTACAAAAATATATTTGATTTCAAACACTGGTGCTAGATTCAAAAGGACTTTGCTTCTTTTACATATTATCAGGTAGATACTAGTCTACTCTCCATATTATGCGCATGAGGAAACTGTACACACAGAAGAAGAAAAGTCTTTCATCAACCACCCTGTATAAGTGTGAATTCTGTTACCATGACAGCAGAACATTTGAAATCAAGGCCTATGTTTAGTCAAGGGTTTCACGATTTGTAGTCTACCAGTGCTGAGAAATATCGTTGCCACTGCTTACAGAATTTTACAATAAAGTACAAAGGCTATATCTATCATGCTAACATTTCATAATCACAATAATCAACGCACAAGGAATGCGCACTTAACAACTACGAAACGCCACATACTCTGCTGCGTACAGTCAGTCACGTGACTAAGAGTGCGCTAAAGGACTGGACGAACTGAGGAAGGGCCAATCAAAGCAAAGAACAAATCAACCAATTAACTTTAGGAAGAGTTTTTCACAATTTTAAATTTCTGAAAGATGCAAAACTCAAAGCTGAGTACAAAACCATTTATAAGATGGAATAGCAAATGGATAACAAGAAATGAACCACTTCTAACTCTGAAATGAGTTGGCCAAGTCTCTTTGAAAACACATTTAAAGGAGCATTAGAAATGTGAAGAAGTCATATTTAAATGTTCTTCCTGCTCGACAACTACCAACCGTATAGTAAACAACACTAAATTAAATTTATGTTGTAGCCGATTTCTTACCCCTAACTTGCAACGCCTTCGAATCTCCAGAATCGAGTTCTGTACACGTAAGCGTAAATGGCGACATTGCTTTTATGTATTCCTATACAAGCTCGTGTTCACTAACCACTAGACAGCGTCAAATTAATTTCTGTAAGTGACATTTTAATTACAGTTCAGATTGATCCATGAAAACACACGCATTCCACATTTTTGTTTGTTTATTTGGTATATAAATATTAAACTGAAGATGTTTATAGATTAAAATTTACAGAAATATTCTATAAAGTGCACATACCCTTGTATTGCAATCTGTTGTTGATAAATATGATAGAATTTGACAGGGATGGATCACCTATTAAAAGACTAACGCATTTCACCGAATAATTAACGCTGTTAGCGTTGTGAAATATTTAAGATCAAGCGAGGATATAACAACTCTTAAAAGAAATATATTTTCAGTAATCTTATATCACAGTTCCTAAGTACATTTAAGTAATATAAGTATAAATAAGAGAAATTAGTAGATTAGAACAGTTTATCTTCAATCTGGGGCACACAATCTCTAAAATGCAAATGGATGAAAAGTTTAGAAGTACTGTAGGACAATTTGAGCCTTAGTGAAATTATTAAAATGGATTAAAACTTCATTTCACATAGTATCATCATGGGGGTTATTAAATTAAAAAAATTGCTGTGCATTTGTCAGGTGCCACGAATCAGAAAACCACGGTTCTGGTGAGGGAACTACGGCAATGTTGTGAGGACAAAATAAATGACTGTACGAGAAACAGATTCTGTTAAGTCTGAGCTGGTACAGGATTGAGACCAGGGAGTGGGATAGTTTCATGCGCTGGAAATCTATAAAGAATGGAATTAAGACACAGTCACATACGGTGGAGAGACCAGAGTACGAGAAGCGTAGCTACGTGTTAACACAAGAAATTCAGAGTTCTACCTATGCAAGGGACGTTTGTAGTCAGAAAGGAAGAATATTTTCGGATGATAACAGGAGAATCTGAATACACAACGAATTTCCAAATATCCTACTTGGCTTATCACGCGAAGGTGCAGAATCTATTAGTTCCGATAGCTGATTTTAACTGTGAACATAAAGGGCTGAATCTTTAAATATCCCAAAATGTAGTATGAAGTATACAGTATGAGTCACGACTAGATGGTATAAAGATGCACCTTTCAAACCTGTTTAGTCACGTGCTCTTAACGTAACTTCGCAACTTATGAAACATGTGACAATTAGTCATTTCCCACTGTAACAAGAGTTCTAGTAGTTAAACGCGTGGTAAAATGGAGGTACTGACTTTCGGCTTCTTTCTGGAATGCCATATTTTATTCCAATTTTTATTTAGAACATTCCAGAGTACATGGTTTCTGGGATACGAATTTAAGAGATCAGTTTCTAGGTTAGTTGATTGTTCACAATGGCTTCACATTCATCACGCTGACCACTGTTTCGTGGAATTTTATCGAAAGGAATATATTACAGATAATCTCACAAAAAAAAAATGTGAATGACTAATGAACATGATTGTATGTCGGCATACAGAGATATATCGGCATGTTATGTCACATGGAAAGATGCAACGTTGAAAGAATGAATTGTTTGATTTTAGTTGGTAGCATCTCTAATATTTTAGCGTGACTAATTATGTTACAGCAGTACGTATGTGATTAAATATAGTGACTTAAATTCTTTTTTTTGTCCTCACCGTCTCTATAAACTGAGCGGATGACGCGCTACTGTCAAATTCTTCAACAAATAAGCAACACAATGTCCTCAGGTTTTGCATCCTCCAATCTAGTTATGAAAACTGTAACCTGTTTCACGTCGTCAAGCCGCGACTCATGACGGATGAAGGTAAAAGAGGAAAACAGAAGATTGTAAAAATGTGTCCTTCACGTCACCATGGAAAAGTTAAATAAAACGTAGTTTTATTCGTTAAGCCACGGAAATATTCCACGACCGTAATTCAGCTTCAGACAAATCATAGGACAGATGATGCGACTGCGGTAACACTGGCACCATTACTACTGCTCTTGCTAAGATACAACGATCAATAATATATTTATTTTACATTTCAGATGCCTGAGTTGATATAGTTCAAATTACAATCTATGTAGGAAGACAATCACATATATGATCTGAAAGGTATGACCACTATTCTACACTATACAGATTGAGCTTCTCAATACTTTCGTCCTCGCGTAATCACCGTCAACAGCGTTACGTGGACTTTATTGCAAACAAATGGTTCTACAGAACACTTTATTGGCCATAATATATTTATGAGAGTGGAAAAACTGATACACAAAACCAAAGCTACTTTGTTTGCTACTAAAACTACATTATCTGGTACTGATTAAAATGTATGGATAACCGATGTCTCTGATATAGTTTAATGCTACTCGTTGCGTAACTCGTGCTTGCAGATTTTCTCCCACAACAGGGTTACCAACCATATCAAGTTTCACATGTTAACGAAAATTCAGAAAACGTGGGTGCAGATGGAGGTATGATGTTACAACGGAACTTTGGGAAACAGGGTTTTGGGGTGTGAATTGGGTTCATCTGGCTCAGGATAGGGACCAGTAGTGAGCTCTTGTCAACATGATAATAAACATCTTAAGTCCACAAAAGGCAGGGAATTTCTTGAATAGCTTTTCATGAAACATTATGCTCCATGGAGTTAACCAGAAACATTTCTTGAAAATGTGTTCTATATAGCACTACGATTACCTTCATTACAGGTATTCTGTATGGAACATAAACAAAAGAATGCTATGTTTGTATATCTGCTTGACATCTTTCAAATTCTAAATCCTTCGTTGGATGTCGTAGACCTGCATGGCGAACCCTTACTCAGACATACCGAGAACATGGGTTCAGAATTATCTGCCGAATATGACCAAAACTTTACTAAAAGTAACCACACTTTTGTATTATATTTTCTTGCAGTGGTTTTAATTTATTCCCTTGAATACAGATCGCGCTGTAAAAAATTTGACAAATGTCATAAATGTGAATTAGGTAAATATTTAATGTCATACACGTAATTCAGCACGACAAACCACAATTTTAAAAATTAAAAAAAATTGTTTGAAATAATTTTATACTGTCCAATAATTATTCATTAAATAAAGAATGTCGGAAACAAAATTTATACGCGTTAAACAACGTGTATATACCATCAGCAACTTTTAAAAGAGACTTCGTTGTTTTCTTGTCCACAGTTAAGATATTTACACTACCATTAGGCATTATTAAGCAACATGAGATTACAAACTCTGGCAGCAATATGACGTAACCTAACCTGCGTGGAATCCTGGAACTCCAGACTTCCCCCACCACCTGATCCTCTTCTTGCGGATTCAGACCACAACCTAAGAATCAGCAGATATAAAGTATTCTTTTGTTTTTAATCACAGCGTAAAATTTAGTGCTACAAGATGGCAGTAATTTCAGGTATGTATACTCTATTATGGAGTACAGGTTGATCAGCAAACCTGAGTTCTGCAAGTGACACAGATACTGCACAATTTAACACAACAGTTTAGGTCTCACTTAACGACCACTACGCATTCTACCGTTAACAAAGCTAACCTGAGAAATATGACAAAACGATATCATAAACTCAGTATTACAGTCTGCACTGTTCAGAAATATTATTCTCGTTAAAAAATACGATTCTTTTAATTAGAGACGTGACAACCTTAACTTTTAAACAAATGGTAGTAGTAAGGAGACATACTCGTCGTTACAGTACTCTTTTAATTTAATATCGCGGTTTTCTGTCATGCACTTTTACAGGAACTTCCTTCCTGATGTGAGAGCGGCGAAGTATCAGACTTCGGGTGTTCTGGATGCTGGCTCCACTATGAGAAATAATTCTCACGCTGTTGAAACAAAGGCAGCGGCTGAATTGGAGAAAGATCGTCCTCATCGAAACTCGGCTCGGTGTTGAGCGGCAACGTTGCTAGTGCTTTTACTGCCAAAGAACAAGAATGTTTATCAGATGTTTCAGCTACTGAAACTTTTTGGAACTCACCAATTTATTTCAATACATTGTAATAATAATCTTTCTCTTTATAAGATAGTGTAATTGCGTCATATTGTGAATATTATAACAATTATTTATTTTAATCCGTCTGATCACAATATTTAAAATTTCTTATAATTAAGATAATAAAATATCATTGATGTTCCGTATCGATTGATCGATTTACATTTCGGAACATTTACACAACATGTTTCGGTTTTTATAAAACCATCATCAGGTGTTCTTAGATATTTTACACCTGATGATGGTTTTATAAAAACTGAAACATGTTGTGTAAATGTTCCGAAATGTAAATCGATCAATCGATATGGAACATCAATGATATTTTATTATCTTAATTATAAGAAATTTTAAATATTGTGATAAGACGGATTAAAATAAATAATCTTTCTCTTTAGTATGAAAATGTTTTTTCTCTTTAAGATGCTGGATTCCACTATGTTATTAATGGTCTAGACAGCGTTTCTCAACCTATGGTACACGAGCCAATGTTGAATGGTATGCGAACAAAGTAAGAAAATCAAAAGATAATATTCACATAAAATAAGTTTTCCCTCAACACATTTGGTTAGTGGTATATTTCATGCGTTAAATTAGGATTAGTGGCGCGCCAGCGAAAAAGGTTGAGAACCCCTGGTCTAGAATATACCCGAAACATTAAGATTTATATCTTATATTTGCAGTTATAAGTCAATTTTCTCAATAAGTTTCTTCATTCTTGCTTTTGGTTTTCCCGAATATAAGCTTAAAATTAATAATATTTGCAGTTATAAGTCAATTTTATCAATAAGTTTCTTCATTCTTGCTGTTGTTTTTCCCGAATATAAGCTTAAAATTAATTATGACTGTGAGAGAACATATATTTCATAGAATTCACGGTCTCATTCTCACACGAAGCCGACAGCTGGCTGTGATGTATACAGTCTGATATTTCTCTAAGCAAGTGTGATGGGGGGGGGACTTGTATTCTCCATTTTAATGCTGTACGCTGGGCAAAAGTGAAATAATTCACATTTATTTAAAATAAATTTCTTTCTACGAACACTTAGTATAAGCAGTGTTTATATCACTTCAGAGCATATTCAATTTCACATTGCAATAAAAAGTACGTTAATACATGCTATGACAAGCAGATTACAGGAATGGCAATGTGTATGAGAGATATTCTGTCTGCAACTTGGGCAAATTACTGGTTATTCTGATTGAGGTTTTATGTGGTTTTCTTCAGTCATACTAGGAAAATGCTAGGATACCTTGAAACAGACCAAAACTACCTCCTTCAAAATTCTTATCTAGTAACAATTCATGGTATTTCGACCTCATTTGATGCTGTACAATCTACACATTTGAAACATATAATAACATTATCTCAGGATAAATCAATAAATCCTTGCTACTAGAACACCTTGTCCATGTGTCTTGAATGGATATATTACCCCTAATGATATGAATCACAAGAACTCATCAGCCCAATACCAGAAGCTTCTGACGTCAGTTGTAACGAAATAACAGCGTCCGTACGCAGCCTCACGTGTACCTGTGCTAGCAGAGACAGACAACGACGCAGAAGCTGTGGAACTGGAAACTTGAATCTTAACCGGGCTATTGGATATTATGGCTAACTAAAGCTTTCCTCAGCATCTTGAATGGTAATTTCAAATATCTGAAGAATGCCATCTTTCCAAATCTTGGGATACATCTCATCTCTTTTAACATCACATAACCAGTGTAGTTGAACCATCATCATTAAATATCATTATGAGCCGAGAGTGCTCAGGTCTGTTTCGTGTCCATCTTTCACAACTGTATTTGCTGTAAAATGTACTTGCTTACTTCAACGTCCAAATGAAGTTCCTCATTCTTGAAGCAGACTGTATGGTGCATGTGAAATCTTTTGTTTCCAAATATTTTTCAGGGATGAAAATCCCAATATGTGTTCAGATGGTCAGAGTTTGATTTACAATTTGTAAAATTCTTTGTCCTCGAGTTCATTCCACACATCCTCAAAAAATGAGAATGAAGCGTGCGTCTGTATCAACAAATTTCGTGTGTGATAATTTTGTTTTCAACTAAGCAATGAAATTTTAGGTTCTCGCAGATGCGAAGATCTCAATGTGTGGACTAGCAGGAAAATCTACTGGCAGACATTCTGCGAGTAAAGAATGTGTTGGAAATGTCAATCATTTCCGTGCCATCTGCAGAAATTGGCGAGGCAAAGCAGTACTCGACTTGATACTCGAAACAGTTATTAAGGAATTGCAGGATTTGAGGTTTTCACGGCAGCGAGTCCGAAGATCGTCGTCTTCTCGGTCGTTGCGCCGTGTAGTCCACGACGCAACAACCCAGAAAACAGCCATCTTCAATTAAGCATTTATTTGGAAGAAATCACTTACTGCCATATTCAAGAAAATCGTTACAGACAACTCAACACAAAAATAAAACTTCCTCTGTGAATAAAACATGGCAGTAAGCCTCCTTTTATATTCGTATTTGACACATCTTAAGGCCGCCATTCACGATTGCTCCAGATGGATGACATCCGAATGGATGACGTCCAAACGGATGTCGTCCAAAGAGGTACTACATTCACGGTACATTATACAAGTTTGGACTTCACTGGACGAAGGCTCGTGGCAGACTGGCATGAGAATGGACCACGTTTCCGCCACTCACGAACCGATTTGGAGTGGCTCGACTCGGACAAGGAAATCCGAGTGCAACGAGAAATGTAACTGGGAAAACACTGGATCATATGCTCGTGGCAGGATGCATTCACAAGATCCACCCTGTAACTAGTCTCTGCTTAAACGAATAAAGGAAGGAAATAAGCTTATAAAGAGTAAATTATAAAAGAACTTGCTTACACAAAATACAAACAAATTAAAAGACCAACCTGCATCAGAGGCAAAACAGCTACGTACATACGCTCAAATCATTCCTGGGATGGAACTGAGGTTGAACCTAAATGATAACAAGACAAGCTACTCATTACAGAAGTTAATTGCTACAAAATAAAAACACAAGGTTAAAAAGTTAGCATGCTCAAAGAACGCTCATACTCAGACGACACTTAGAACACATCATGATTAGTCACACAGATGCGGTCATTAACTTGAAAATATAAAATTTTCACTGCAAAAAGAACCACTGAAAAAATGGTTAACCATAACAGAACTTTAATTCGCATGGCATTATCGGCGCATATTGCAAATCGTAAAGTCACGGTAAACTCTCGTAACAGATCAGAAATGTTAACTGTTGCTTATCTTTAAACACAGCATCTGTGTTGCATGAACTGGAGGACTGGCGCGTGCGTTCCTTCAAGGGTAAACTTTCTCAACACCGATAAAAATAAAATGTAATACATGTGTCCTGTCACCTGTGACTTTCCTGTTCAACAAAGTGAACAGGAACAGTTCCGGAAATATTATTTCGTGACATTTCAAGTAAATATTAAAGTTAATGAAAATGTAAAGTTGAAGTTATTCCTGAAGGAGCAAACGACACTGAACACTGTCACAGACGTGTTCATTTCACGTGACACGTATTGATAAAAATGGCCATAGTTCTGTATATGAGATTTGACGACGTTCATGAGATTTGCATAGTTCAGTCAACTAATTGAAGGTTCTGAGGTGCTCATTCCCACCGAGATCACTTTAAATTTAGCAAACATGAGAAGTTTCTTATCAGAAGTTCAGGTGTTCAAATAAAAGATTTGTTTGGAAGTATAAAGAATTTTCTTGGTGATATGTTTCTTTCTACATTAACATTTATGAACAAAAATTTTGTCAAACAAAAATCTGGTAAGCTGCTATACGCCTACTAATCAATCCTAAGGGGTTCTGACAGTTGTCTATTACTATCCATCGTCTGGTATTCTGAAGAGAACGGATTTTGGAAGCTGGATCTCCTTCGATCCTCAGGCGGAAGATGTGGGAAATATCCGCTTAATTAGGAGCAGCCTCGATCAAATAATAGGAACTGCATAATTAATATACAACGTCATCGCAACAAACAAAAATTTATGGTATTTTAATAATCATCAAACATGTTTCGATTCACAACTGACATAATGAGAGTTTGCTTGTTATTGAAGACTAATATTAAGTAACAAAGCATTTTCAAGTTAACGTTCCTCAATCAGACAAATATTTCCACACGTTTTGAAGCTCTTTAAATGTTGAATTAAAACCCAACATTAATCAAAAATGCAGTGAACATACATGCATGCTAATGCCTAGGTCCACTGACAGCAGTCCAGAGGCCAATAGAATTGGACGTGCTTGTGTTTCCCACCAATTACAGAGCACTCGAGCAAAACAGCAGATCTCTGGTACGCTTCTGGTAAATTTGTGTAATTTGTTGGAAACAATTTCTTTCAAATATGTTTTCAAGAAAACATGTTGTTGCATTAACCCTTCAGCGTGGGAGCATTTAAATCCAAAGTCTATTCCGTGCTGTGGGAGGAGTTTCTGCTTGGGGATTTAATTTTGAGCTGAAAGTGCATCATTTTACTTATATGGGCACAACTTCCCTAATAATTGATGAATTTTAGTGAAACTTTGAACAAAATGTTCACACCACACTAGGCTTTATAGAAAAGTAAAAAAATTACCTTAAAAGTTGAGTTTTGTGTGGAATATCTTGAAACAGCCATCAACACAGAGACCAGCCTCACAATCAGGACACCAAAACACTGTCTTTCACGCACAGGTAAATCATCGATTACACTTGATTCATCATCTGAATCGAACACGCTACTTTCGGAATCAGTTAGAGGTTCGTCTACACTTCTAGCAATGTCTTGAGGAGACAAAAAACGCCTGCTACTCGAAGCCATAATCACGGCTGACTGACGGCAGATATGTACTATAGAATTCTGTTCATACCAAGGGGAGAACAGAGAATGCATTGACTAAGGTCGTTGACATCATATACCGTTAGAAAGCTTGGAATGTGTCCTACACAGCCGTCGTAACCTTAACTATATTACTCCATTTGTCTTCCCTAGAGAGAGCCACAAAGCAGAGGCTGAATGCAGTTGAGTTCAAAAATCGATCTATATTTCAAAGTTGAAAAACACTGGTAAAATCGATCTGTCAGAGTCATGTTATATATCAATCGATAGCCAGCTTTTTTCTCTACATGGCTACTGGATCCAGAATACATAAAATACAAGGTCAGTCGCTACAAAGAAGGAGAAGTCTTAGCGCGCATTATGCGAGCAGTGCTCGGCACTCCACGCCATGGGATGACTACGTCATGACGAGCGATGTTCGGCACTCCACGCTGAAGGGTTAAGGAACACTTTCCAGAGAAGTTCAAAAATCACAAAGCTAAGAGGCAAGAGTAGTCCCAACTTTGCGAAACAAAAAGCTGGCTTTGGTCTGGAACTCCATGGACCTGTTACTAATAACTGATCCACTTGCAACATTAATGCATCACACAGCCCAACTTTAACCCCTACGCAACATTCAGCAGTCAAATGTCCGTGCTTTACCTTTTACAGCAAATTTTTACTTTAGTCCACATCAAGAAATCATCTCTCTTCACTGCTATATCTGACTTTACTCTCTGCGCTATAAAAATGCGTTCTTCGTGGTCAGTACAGTGCTGCCGTCTAATGTTAAGAGTCTTCAGTTGAACACAGATGTCACAGAAGTGCCAGGCCGATGAAATGTTTTTGTTCCGAGTGAAATTTTGATATCTGGTAACATCTCAATTTTGAGCAGTTGAAAAGATTGTAAAAGGTGTTTTGTGAATAAAATACTGATCACTTAACTGGTCTGTTAGCGTAATTTCTGTGATTCTTATTCCTACGTACGCACGATAACCCGATCACGAGTTTAAATTTTTACCATAAAATTATATTCCATTAGCAAAAGCAGTAAACAAGTAACGCACAGCAAAAGGTTTAAAACTTTGAACAGGCAAACACAAAATCACCTAAAGTCGTCTAGACTGACAAATATAAGAGACGTCTCTTACTCTCACACTTACCAGCCACCATTTTGCTTTTCTCCATCACCTGTTTGGCCAGGATCTGATTCAGCTGAAGCAGATGTTCTCTCTGTTTCTTTTCTGCCGCAACTTTCTTCTTCAATGTTGATGTTTGTTCCTCCTCTTCTCTCTCTGTTGAAAGTACCAACGGTTAAAACTGGAATTCACGCGAGGAATATAACGCATTTGAACTGACGACATAGGGCATCATGTCTCGTCAAGATATTCTTTAGTTGGAAAATACATTTATGGTCATGGTCTATAAAATTTTGTCAGATCCTATTTCTTTTCCAAAAACTCCCCATACGAGGTGCGATCGGAAAGTTTCAAGACTGCGCGTATAAAAACCCGTACACTTATCTCAGGTATTAAATTCATCCATCACCCTCGAAGTAGTTCCCCTGGGAGTGAACACAACGATCACTTGTTATTGAGAACGTTTTGGTTAAAATAATTCATCAAATTTGCCAAAGTTACATTCATGAATACAAAAACATGCTCTGTTAAACAGTGAGCAGATGACTGCATCTTTTGCAGCTCATGGAATGAAGCACAGCATCACTCTACGGACAGTAATCTGTTACCCTACATTAAAAATAACGAGAACCTTTAGAATCAGAAGTTGTAATGGAAGTTGTTTCCGACAGCATCTTCCTAATGGCTTCCGCTTTCTTAAGCCGATGCATCTGCTCTTCCGCAGAAAGTTCAGGGGCCTGCAACAGACAGTCAACTGCTTGAGAAAGGAAAAATATGTAACAAGTAAGGAAATGTATGCACTGGTATTGTAGTATATGTCAAGTAACATCGCGACACGTACATTTTATTTATTTTATTTAGTGTTCTGTCTGGCGACAGGTCCATATGAAC